ATTTCGGTCGGTACCATAAAATAACCGATGTTCGGTACCCAGCCCTACGCTTTTTGGACCTGTTTGCATGTTTTTAAAAATCCTGTCCACATCAAGCGTTTGGTTTTTTCCTACAGAGCGTCCTCCACCTCCAGCGGACTCCCCGCTGCCTCTGCTCAGGAAATGTAACGCTGCGATTCCAGCTCACCTGAGCCCCGTGCAGACGTGGGTGGAGACCCTGGAGGGTCAGGACAGCCAACCGCTGGGTCTGACTGAGCTCCACCCTGACGTCTTTGCAGTGGCTCCAAGGTAATTAGACCCTGGCCTAACTTTCCATTTTTAGGCTTTATTATTCTGATATGAGATATTCCACCTACTGCAGCGTTAAACTGATCTTTGCTCTCCAATACAGGCTTGATATTCTGCACGCTGTCGAAACATGGCAGAGAAACTACAAAAGAATTGTAAGTCACACATTTGTTCATATATAATAAAAAAAACTTACAGTTTCTTTTCTGCAATGTTAAATATTATATTATAATGTTTTTAAATTCAGTACATTTACATAGTTGTTACTTTGAACAATAAAGCCCCACTCTGTGGGTTTTTCACCAGCGTTAAAGTTTGTGATGCAGGCAGTAAATATTTTAAAATCTCTTATAATAGTATTTTGTTAGAATCGATCTCAGATCATACAAAAAGATGAATTTTTACTGAAACAAAAACAAAGTCCAGCCCATTTTTTACAGAAATAAAACACCTAAAAAAAAGTAAATGCATCCTGAGCTTTTTCCTTCTAGCTTTTTTTTTTTTTTTCATTCAATTTTAAGTTAATAAAAAACAACTAACTGATCACTGTGACTCATATTTTACACATAAACAAACAGAGGAAATAACCGGAGGAGCTGGTTTGGTTGTTGACCCAGTCAGACCGCTAGCGTTAGCGTAGCGCCACATTATTAGATCAGGTCAAACATCGGTTCCTGGAAACACCTAAACCTCCCTCTGAGCATCACAATGCAGCAGGACAATCCCACTTTACAAATGAGACAAAGGAATATAGGTCGTATATTTCCATGACATTTGACCCCTGATCAACCTCTTTAATAATCCTGCTTCTATACAGCTAACGAGGTGTAGATTACTCTTAAGTTTTTGTCTATATTATAAATAGACGCTCTTTCTCATCACAAAAGTCCGTAGGAACAAACAAAATCTCTTAGCTCTAATTCATCCAAACCGTTTTAATCCGTGTGACGACTCTTCATGATGTATTTATAACCTCTGATTGCTATTTGTAAACAATTTATAAAAAGGAGGGTTTATAAACATCACTTTAAACCAGATTATGTTTATAAAGAGGCTTCTATTCATCCTGTTGAGATGTATTGTAAAACAGCTGAAGGTTAAGGAACACAGAAATCACATGATGTAGAGATGTTGATGTTTGGAGACGTTGACAGGAAAAAAAATCAGTTTTATTTAACAAGAATGTCAGATCCGGTGTTCTTCATTCAACCGCAGTAACGTCAACTGTTCTAATGACCGATACCGCAAACACAAGCTGCATCTCAATTCGCAGAAAGCCTGCGCTTTGTAAAGCGAAAAAAGTCGTGAAATGCAACTTTTGTAAAAACAAATGAACATGGCACAGAAGCACCACTGTTATGATGCAGCATCTGAAAAGAAAACACCGTTGGAGCCTTCGATGGCAGAGAAGAGAGCTGATCAGCAGGATGAGCGGCCATGTTTGTTTCATTTTAAAGTGGGGAAAC